GCCACCTTGGAATTAATAGACTAAAAATTTGAATCATTTGACAGCCCTAGTTTAAACTTAACAAATTATCACTCAGTTTGGATAAAAGTAACTATATGATTATTAACAAAAAGACAAATAACTGCTAATATTTCATTTAGAGTTGATGGTGTAGAGATTAGTGGTCAGTGAAGTAAAGTTTTTGGGTGTTTATTGATGAGAAACTAACATGGAAACCTCTTATAAATTATTTTACAATAAAACTAGTTAATCTATTGCACTGCTTTACAAAGTAAGGCACTTGTTTAATGATAAAGCTCTGTATTTGTTATATAACACATTAATTGTTCCACACTTGGTGTGTTGTGTTGAATTATGGAGTAAAACWTGTAAGACTATTACACATCCTGTTTTTATTTTGCAGAAARGAGTTATAAGAGTTATCACTCAAAAACATWACTATTATCATCTAATAAATTATTCTGTAAACTGAAATAATTGAAATGTTCTGATTTGGTTGATGATAACGTTCTGTTAGTTGTGTGTAAAACTCACCAAAACACAGAAAAGCTTTCCAAAGACAGAGAGCTGCTCTGATCTGAAGAGGACAGAGATGTTCATGAAACCTAAATGTAGAAGCTGTTTAAAAGAACGCTGCAGCTCAATCCAAGCAGTCAGACTGTGCAATAATCTGGAAGATGATGTTAAAAAGACCAGATCACTGTACATGTTTAAGACAATGATAAAGGTTGGATTGTTGGAAAAATATGAAACAGGATAAAGTGTAACAATATAATTAGTTGTTCAGGAAAGATTTGATGTTTTTGTTTTGTTTTAACTGAAGATCTTTATTGTTTGAATTCATACTTGAGGAAAATGGTCAGATATTATATGATTTTCTTCTCTCTGCTTCCTTTAATTTTATTTCATTTCATTATATTTGTATTTTCTTTTATTTTTATTGTGCATAAAACTGTTTTTTATGAAATGAATAAAGTTTAAACTAAACTAAATGTAATAAAAGCATGTGAAGCCTGGGCTTTAGTTTTAGTGAGGGCTAAACTCTGCTGCAGGATGTGACCTCACATCAGCTCACTGAGCTTCAGCTCTTCACAACTAAACTCACTCAAATGGTTCAAATTAACCTAAAACAGAGCAAACGTTACGACCAGTTCAACCAGTTCCACTCAGGGAGTGACAGACACTGGTGTGTTACCATGGAGACAGTAGCTTTAACTTTATATATAAATCTTTTTCATTTTTAAAATGTTTGACAAAATAATTGACACAAAATGATCCAGGTTMATGACTAGATTCTGTTTTTATTTGTCTTTATTTTCCCCACTGAGTTTGAAATGTCCTACAGTTTATTTTCTCAAGAAGAACTCATAAATATGGATTTACTTTATTTTATTGGAGATCAGCAAGAGATCTGTTGGTGCTCTTATTGTGAAGGACAAAAAGGAAGTCAGCAAAGCTTTAGCCAAGTAGCTAGCGCATCAGAAAGTAAATCTTTGAACCAGTTCAACAAGCAGTTTTTACTGCTCCCGTAGAACTGTCAGAACTTCCTGTTGTCCTTCAGAATAAGAGTTCAGCTGATCTCTAAAAACACTTCAAATGTCTAAAACTATCTTCAGACTGAAGCAAACGTAGCGTTGATGTTCAGATATGACTTTGAACTGTTTTTCTTCCACTTCTTCTTCCCTGCGTCCGTCCTTTAAGACCCTCTCCACGTTTCTGTGTTCCACAGTGACCCCTACTGGGAGCGGCCGTCTAATGCAGGCAGCTGCTCCGCCGCCCGGCCCAAGACCCTTCACCTGGCGGGCCAGCAGCATACGTCCTCACCATGGTAATGTCTGAGCAGTGCCTGTAGCAGTAGAGCTAGCAGCTGTGGTGTGTGTCTGTGTTGAAGCTACACTTTTGGTTTTGTTTGTCTAAAACTGGTCTTGCTTTCAGATGTTCCTCTTCTGTTCCTCTGGAGGAAACAGGTTTTATCAGCGGCTGGTTGATGATTAGCTAAAGCAAGTCAGAAGATGTCTTTAGAATCAAAAACACCTGCTTCTGTTTATAACTTTAAATATTCCAGACGTTTAAGAACTTACTGAGCAAAACTGATGTAAAATAAGGAAATCCTGAAGTTTTACTTGAAGCAGATGTTTTACTTTAATTCATTGATTCATATAATATGAGTTCAACTCAAGTYCTCAATCCAGAACTGGCTCTGATCCAGATCTAAGAGCTTACCATCATTATAATCTGGTTCTCTTACAATAAACCAGTTTATGTAAATTATGAAGTAAATATTAAAGGTTGTTTGAGGAAAACAGCAGATACAATTAAATATGTGGAAATTTTTATTTTCTGCAGGATTTAAAGTGGAAAAGAGCAAAAAGCAGATTTCACAAAAATAATTTTTAGATTTTCTTTTACTTCAATAATTAAAATCTGTATTTGTACTCATAATGTACAAATGTATTCATACTGCAGTAATCTGGATTAAAAAACTATTTTTGTTCAGTTAAAAACTGTTTTTACTGAAGTTCTTTGTTAGTTCCAGGTGTGGTCGTCTGTGTGAACCCTCACCTGTCCAGGTTGGACCCTAAGCCTCGACAGGTGTGGTGGTCTGTGATTTTCTAGATGATTGATGTACAGTCAGAGTCAGGAAGGTTTCTGGAACAGATCAGAACCTGTGGTCAGGTAGAACCTGTAGTCAGGTAGAACCTGTGGTCAGGTAGAACCTGTAGTCAGGTAGAACCTGTAGTCAGGTAGAACCTGTGGTCAGGTAGAACCTGTAGACAGGTAGAACCTGTAGTCAGTGGTCAGGTAGAA